AYTGAGTGAAATGGGAAACCATCAAATGCCTTTCACCAGAGGAGTGACTGTTAACTCTGGCTGCTGTGTTAAAAAATATACTGAAGGAAGTCAAGAAGGGAAAGAGGGAAAGCAACTGCACCTCCTTATCACTTCAACCCAGGGAAGGCATGACTCTGGCTAGGGGCAAAGCAGCTAGTGGATCTGGTGTTAGATGTGAAAACAGGATGTCTTTTCTTACTGTTGCGGTTAAAAGCCTCAAGTTTAGAAGAGATCATTGGCTTGGGTATTTCTCTCACCTCCCCATCCAATCTATCAGCAAATCCTGACAGATCATTTCTAAATATATTCAAATATAAATGTTGAATTGATTATATTTTAAAACACAGACTCTGGGGGAACGATTTCACCACATCAGAAGATGAGATCTAGTTACTTTCTGTTATGGTTTGGATATGAGGTGTCCCCCCAAAGTTCCTGTGTGAATGAAGGAACATTTGAGGTAAAATGATTGGATCATGAAAGCTGTGACCTAATTGGTCCATCCTGGTTGAATAGATGGACTGGGTGGCAACCGAGGGGCAGACGGGGCATGGCTGGAGAAGGGAGGTCACTGGGGAAGCTCCCTAGAAGGGTCTGCCCTGTGATCCCTTCCCTTTTCTCCCTCTTTCCAATTCCATGTCCTAAGCACCTTTCCTCTGCCTTRACCTTCTGCCATGATGTACTGCCTCACCTTGGGCCCAGAGGAATGAACTCAGTCAACTATGGACTCAACCTCTGAACTGTGAGCCAAAATAAACTTGACCTCCTCTGACTTGTTCTTGTAATGTATTTGGTCACAGCAAGGGAAGGCTGACTAACACACCTTCCTGGCAGCATATTCTTGAGTTGATTTTCTTGGTTAATCTTAGCAATAGCTTCATTCCACAGAGGTAGATACTGTGATTCAAAGATCTACTTAGACTCACATCGATAGTAGATGTATCACAGGTATCCATAGCTAGTGTCTGTTTTATTCAAGGCTGTTTCGTGTTGCCACTAAGGATAAGAGAATAAATKGAAGGATTTTGAAGTTAAAAAGCAAGGAAACAAGGGACTAACRTTAGATGCTCTTAGTCTTTACAGTAAACCATAAATTTGCAAAATGAGAAGCATGCCAGGGATAAAAAAAATGGACTTGACTTGAGATTTGGAAAGTATGGAAAATGTCTGGAATAGGCATTGTAGGATTTAAATAAAGGATCAAGATCTAATGAATTAAAGAAAAAAAAAGTCAAAGTTCTGTTGACATTAGCCCCTAGGGTACTGAAGTGAACTTAGTCAAGTGTCATTATCTTCTATAGCAATGACCTATGAATCATKTACAGGATCACACAGAGTGGCAATGGAGATGACCAGAGGAGAYACAGAAAGAGATAAAGAGCTGGTGGGTGACTTGGGCAAAAATATACTTTTAGTTTGAATTTTCATGGAGTGAGACTTCACTTTCATCATTTTTCTTAATATTGTAGAGACCTGGAGTTTTAGATAGTCAAGGCACCTGATTCTTTTTCATTATTGKTGAAACTCCATGCATGTGATCTCCATTTTTATTTTGTCAATTACATATGCTTTCTGAGGTGAACTTGTCTTATTACCTCGACCAGAGATACTGCACCATAGTGTCTTCACCTGTTCTRAAAACTTAGACATCTGGTTAAATATTGGTCTTTATCCTAAAATTTAACCAACCTAACAGATTTCTCTATCAAAGTAGATATTCCTCACAACAATCAGTTTGGGCCACTGTTTAAAAAACTATTTATAAGACAAGTTTTAGGTTTACAGGTTGAGCAGGAAATACAAATAGTTTCTTCTATTATTGACATGCTACGTTAGTGTGGTTCCAACATTATTGCGATGAACCAATATGAATACATTATTAACTAAAGTCAATACCGTTTCTATGGTTTTGGCAAATGCATAATGACAGTGATGTATCCACCATTACAGTATCAGTTTTACTGCCCTAAAAATCACCTGTGTTCTACATATTCAGCCCTCCTTAATGGGCCATTGTAAACTACTATTCTTTTTATATATTCTGATATTCTATTATGATCCTCAAGATCAAAGATAGTTGTTCTATATTTCAGTCTCTGGTTATCTCTTTCTAATCTACTGGCTCATTCACATTTTCATTTATATAATCCACTGGCTCAATCATATTTTCATTTATATTTTACTTATTTTTCAATCTGATTTTGATGATCTGATTAATTTTCCCAAATTTTTATCTCCCATTTTTTTTTCCCCCTGAGATTCTCTCTCCCTGATCAAGGCCATGCTTCCTTGATCACTCTAGCTATTCTTCCATCTCACTAATTCKTTTGCCAAGTCCACCTACCATATCTCAGCCTTGATATGGATGTTTTAATCTTCTCTGCTTCTCCACTTGGGCTCTCAATCTCAGCTGGAGAAAGTCACACCTCTGGGCTGACTAGCTGCAATGAAAATGCCAGTCTTATACAAACCTCAGCTCGATCTTCAGTGCCACGGATCTATCCTTCATCCATTCTGCAGTCAGTTGATTCCCTCAGTATCTATTTCAATCTCTCACTACTCTCCTGTAGACTCTTAGATAATACCTGTCCCAATCACTGYCAACACATTTCAACTCCTATTTTTTTATACCTTTATTTTATTCGTTTTATTTTTTTTTTTTTAATGTGGTGCTGGGGAACGAACCCAGTGCCTCACATGTGCTAGGCAAGTGTTCTACCATGAGTCACAACCCCAGCCCTCAACTCCTATTTTTATCAAGAAATTTGAGTGATAAGATATGATCTTCCTCTCCCAATCTTGACCTATAGATTAAAAAGACACATTCTCACCCTACTTTTTAAGTATCAAGGAAACATCTTTACCTCATCAAAACTAATTCTCAATTTAATGCCCCCCAATCTACTCTGGGATCTTTGTCCTTCACCTATTAAATTCCTTTTCTCAAATTATTTTTCTTTCTTGTCCTTCCTCATCTTATAATTACACTCAAGTCTCTGAGAGCTTAAAAACAAAACAAAACAACAACACCCTACCAAAATCAAAGATTGTTCTATTATCTCTGTCTCTCTTCCCCTCCTCTAAATTTTCTGAAAGAGCAATATATAGATAGGCCACTTTCACCTTTTCACTTCCAAGTTTTYACATAATCTTCTGCAGTTTGGCTTCTTCTCCCACCATTGTACCAAAACAGTGGTGGTTTAGGTCACAAAAACCAGGCAGGGACTGGAGGATGTTCAGTCCTTGAAAATATGACTGTACTAGGTGAGGTCTGCTTTTATATGGGTCATTCACTGTGGACCCATCTCAGCTCAGGTGATAGAGCTCTAGCAGAAAGTACTTTACTATCTAGTACATCAGAGTGTGTGAGATGATGGAGTTAAGGCAGTGAGAGTGGTCAGAGGAGCCCTCAGATCTGTGTATAAATCTCCTTTGAATCCATTTTTTTGATACCTAAAGTAAAAAAAAAAAAAAAAGATCCATTTTGACACCTAAACTAAACATGCAAATTGTGGGGGCTCCCTATAAAAAAAATCAGCAGAAAAGAATAGGAAGAAGTTTGTAAGAGACAAACAACAGATTCCAATTTTTGCCTATAACAGGGAGATACAGATTAAATGTTGAGTCCTTCATAGTAAAACAAAACAAAACAAACAAAACAACAACAACAAAAAACCCTAAAAACAAAACCAAAGAAACTTATACTCCAAATTTGATTATCTGGTAAGATTATCACTAAAAATTGCAGCTCAGTAAACACATATTAAGTCAATAAATATTGAGAATATGCCACCGACAAGACTATACTTCAAGAKAGTCCAAAGAAAATTCTTGGCTTCAAGTTTAATGATAACAGAAGTTCAGATAAATAAAAGGAATAAAGAACCTTAGCATTAGTAGATAAGCAGTGAAATACCGATTTTTCATCTTTTTTACCTTTGAAAGATAACTAATTGCTTAAATCAAACCTTTATTTTTTGTGAAATTAATAAGGCAGGCATATATAACTACAGTAGCACAAAGGTGAGGGTGGATATAAATGGAATTATATTGATGAAAGCTCATTAATTTTTGAAATTTGAGGTGGTGTAATATTAGTTTTAGATAGAATGCTTTCACTTAAGAATGCATGGTGTAATCTGTAGACTAACCACAAACAAGAAAAATACAGAGATATAGGTCAAAAGGCAACCCAGACAATAAAATCAAATATTAAAGTAATTTCAGTTTACATCCCTCCTCCAAAAAAGGTCAGGAAGAGAAGGAACAGAGGAAGAAATATATAAATGAAATAGTAAATTATAAATCTAAACCCAACTATTCAACAATGTATCATGAAGACACTGTACTTTTAAATGTATATGCATTAAATAAATATCAGAGCTTCAAAAATCGTAGCAAACACTGACAAAGCTAAAGAGATGTTGAAATATCTTTTTGAGAATTGAAAGAACAAGAGAAAATATAATTATAAATGCAACTTGTTTCGTTACCCAAACTAAATATTTAGCCCTTCAGGGATCAGAATTCATTCATTCACTCACCCCTCCCTCCCTCTCTCTCTCCCTCCCACCCTCCCTTCCTTCCTTCTTTCTCTTTCTTTCTTCTGTTTCTCTGGTTCTTTCTTTCTTTCTTTCTCTCTTAATAACATAGCAATTTAAAAAGACAACAATTGTATTAACTGTGCTTGAAAATTACATTGTGATTTTCATCATGTACTATATCTTGACAAAATGTTTAGAACATGAGTTGCCAAAGGTAAAGGCTTCATTTAAATTCTGTTTTATTATAGAAAATATTTTTAAATTTAGTTTCATTTTGTCACCTAATTTTATTTCCTAAAAGTTCATAAAATAGCATTTGGTGAGGTTTTAATTTGACACCACAACCTATTGTATTATACTCATTTTAAGTGAAATTAAGGGCTCCAGGGGTTACAGTTGAATCTTTAGGTATAAGACAAATAAATGAATTCTTACCTTAAAGACCAGCTCTCCTACTAAGCCATTCCATGTCCCATCTTCTTGTGGGCTTCCATACTTATGATCCGGTGCAACATAAATTTCATAGTTAAAACCCAGGTAGTTAGATAAGGCATCCAAAACATCAATGGAAAAGCCCTGGTATTTCTTCGGCTTACCCAAGACATTTTCAGAGACCATTACGAAAGGCTCTTCCTACATGGAAATAAAAGAAATTTTGATGTCAATCAAGATTGCTCCCTAAAAGCAAAGACTAATTCTTTAAAGAACTTTGCTTACAAAGTCCAAAATCTGTCTTATGCTTTGAAATAATTAACTTAGTATTATAGTTTATGCATTATTAATGAATCATATTATTGAAAAAGTTTTAATCACTTAATTTCTTATCATTTCTTATTTAATAATTTCCATATCAAAAGTAGGATGAAAGTGACTGAAAAACTTCAAGAACTATGAGTTTATTATCACCTTAGGATCTATCTAAAATTAATTAATAATACATCAGGATGCGCTTACTGTATTTATTACCATTTTTATTTATATTTGTTAAAGTACATAAAATTTTATTTTAACAGATATAATATAGAGATGTAACTGTGAAAAGATTGAATATTTTAAGTACCTATAAATTAGCCAAAAGGTATTCTACATCATATTTACTAAAGTTATTTGCTAAACAATTTTATAACTTTGATATAAACATACATTTTATTTGCAAAAATAATTTCTCTATTACTACTACAAGAAAACTCACTTACCTTTGGTATACTATCTAATTTGGTAAGTTTACAAGATTGATTTTTACTGCTACTTCCATTATATACTTACATTTTTGTCATTTTGGAGGGAAGTACTGGGGATTGAACTAAGGGACACTGGACCACTAAACCACATCCCCAGTCCTATTTTGTATTTTATTTAGAAACAGGGTCTACTGAGTTGCTCAGCATGCTTTTGCTGWGTCTGGCTTTGAACTCCTGATTCTCCTGCCACAGCCTCCCAAGCACCTGGGATTACAGTTGTGCAGGACTGCCTGGCCTGAATTATTTATTGTAATGTAACTAGTTATTGAGGTATCCTTTTTTGTCTTTTAAACTCTAACAAATAGTTCAATGTCATTTTAGAACACTTAACGTTACGAGGGCAAAATTGGTATGAAAAGACAGAATTAAATAATCTATTCTTTACTTTGCTAAACTTGTCCAGAAATATTTCAGCAATAGTAATATTTATAA